CTGGTACTATTCTAACTGGTCTTCCCTGGTAGGTAATCTGACCTTTCTCTCTCACTGCCTTTAGGATTTTTTTTCTTTTATGCCTACTTTGGTTTAGTTATTTACTATGTGTCTAGGAGTTGGTCTTCTCATTTGATGTCTTGCACGGATTCTCAAAATCTCTTTTGTTTGGATGGTCACATCTCTGATGAGATGAATGAAGTTTTCCTTCTTGGATAACCTCACAGAATGTTTGTTCCAAGGTGTTCTCTGTCTCTTTTTTCTGCTTCAGGGATGCTGGTTAGGGATAAGTCTGGCCTCATGATTTAACTACATATCTCTTGGAGGCTTTTTTCTCTTTCTATGTTTTTTCCAGACTGGGTTAATTCCTTATTTCAGTCTTCAAGTTCTGAGATTCATTCTTCTACTTGGTTAATTCTGCTTTTCATGCTTGTCAGTTTGTCATTTATTTCATGAATGTTGTTTATTATGACCAACATTTCCTTTCTTTTTTCTTCTTTCCTTTCTTGATTCTTGTTCATCCTGTATATCTATCCCTTGGTTCCTGCATTTGTAATCTGAGACCAGTTGTTCTGAGCACTCTCCATTTTTTGAACTCTGAGGTCTGTATTTTTGGGCATTATCTTTTTGGACTCTGGGGGTTATATGTGCTCTTCCATTGATTTTTTTTTTCATTTGTGACATATTTTTTCTTTCTTTTTAATTCCATTACTCAGTGAGAGAAGAAATAGCTTTTCAATTCTGTTATTTGCTCAACTCCCTATCCTTCCCTAAGTCAAGCCTCTGGATTTGTACAACTTTGAAACTGGGCTACTGTGGGGAGTTGTTCTGTCTCTTTGCAGTTTTGTGGGTTAAATAAGGTGTAATTGGGGGAACTGAGATTCAGAAACTGCCTGTAGGTCACAGTGTTCACTGAATAGGGTATATGCCTTCTGGTACCCACTTCCCAACACTATCCAATATGTCCATGTGTTGGGAATGTATGTGTATACCCTAAGTCCAAAATAACATAGGGGAAAAGGAAAGAACACGAAAGAGTAGAAGAAAAAAGGAAAGAAGAGACAAAAAGCAAAGCAAAACTAAACTAAACAAAAACAACAACAAAAACAAAGATAAAAGCAAAAATAACCAAAACCAGAAATGAAAACAAACCAACAACAAAAAACCAAAAAACTTTGAACCCATTCTCATACACATATACTCGCACATGAAAGAAGAGAAAAAAGGAAGAAAAAGAAAAATTGTACCCTCATTCAATGCACACATATGTTCACATGTGAAAATAAATTTTGTGAGTATAACGCTCCCTCTTAAATTTCAGGTTTCTATGCTGGACTAGGCTGCCATTGTGTCTGGCAGACTCACCCACAGGAGGATCCCCTCAAAGTGTATGGGCTGCCCCTGGCTCCACCTGTGGTCAGCCCTCTGTATAGCACACTGACCAGGCCTCCTCCTGTGCATGGGTCAGATGCTTCCCAAATAACTGAGAGAATGGGGTAGGGTGTTAGATCAGTTCATCACTCACCTCTACCCTTTTCAACTAGATTGTCTTCTTCTGTTTCCACCTGTTATTCCTTAGCTAGACCAGTGTGGGGGATGGAATGACTAGGACTCTACACTGGTTCTGTCCCTCTGGTTCATGATAACCAAACCCAGAGAAGTGGAGAGTTGACCCCTCAGACCTAAGATGTAGCTCTGCTGCTCAAAAGTGGGGAGACTGGAGCACTTGTCTGTCTAGTCCCAGATGACAGCAATTCAAAATGCTTTAATTTTCCTTTTAATTTATTCTTTGATGCATTCATTATTTAAAAGTATGTTATTTCATTTCTAAATATTTGAAGAGTTTCCAAGGGGATGCTGTTACTGATTTCAAATTTAATTATATTGTGATTAGAGAACATAATTTGTATTTTTAAAATATTTTTAAGATATTAATAGTTGATTTATTGTCCCAAAATATAGTCAGTTTTGATAGATTGCAATGTACAAATGAAAAATATTTGTATTCTACTGTTGTTTGGTGGAGTATTTTATGATACTTTTTCTCTAGATATGAAGTTCATTGTTAGAGTTGTTAAAATCTAAATCCTAGCTCCTTTTCTGTTTACTGATTTTCTCAATATTGAGAGGAGTTATTTAAATCTATGACTAGGCTGAGGTGAGTGGATTGCCTGAGCCTGCGGGTTCGAGACCCATCTGGGCAACTTGGCGAGACCCCATCTCTACAATAGATCAAAATGAGCCAGGCATGGTAGCGTGCACCTGTAGTTCCAGCTACTTGGAAGGCTGAGGCGGAAGGATCGCCGGAGCCCAGCAGGTCGAGGCTGCGGTGGCCGGAAGCGGCCACTGCACTCCAGTCTGGGTGACAGAGTGAGACTCCAACTCAAATAAATAAATAAATGAATAAATAAATAAAATCTATGACTATATGTTTGGATTTATCTATTTCTCCTTGAATTTATCTCAGTTTTTGTTTTATTTATTTGAAGTTCAGTTGTCAAGTACATAAATGGTTAAGATTGTTATGTCTGTTGGTCATTTGATATTTTTTTATTATTATGGAAGCATTCCCCTGGTAATATTATTGTTTAGATATTACAGGGGTAATATTAATATTTTACTCTGGCTTTCTTTTGATTAATGTAGCATAACATATCATTTTCCTATATTTTACTTTGAACACCATATTTAGATCTATATTTTCATGGTTTTTCTTTTAAAACAATTACTCTTTATCAGTGGATTTTGCTTTTTCGTCTACTCTGACAGTCTCGACTTTTGAGATTTTTGCAGCATGTATATTTAGTTTAATTATTAAGATAGTTAACTTTATGTCTGCCATCTGTTTATCTTCTACTTGTCTCATTTGTTCTTTTCTTCCCCATTTTCTGCCCCTCTTTGGATTTTTTAATAATTTATTTTTTAATCTATTTGGTTATATTAGTAGCTTTACTTATTTGTTTTATTATTTAGTGTTTGCTTTATGGATATCACATATATCTTTAACTTCAGAATACATCTTAAAGTGTTATTACACCTCTCCACACATAGTATAAATATTATACTTATGGATAAATATCATCCAATATTATATTTCTTTTTTCTCTTATAGCCTTTATGCTATTTTGGTCATTCATTTTACCTGTATTTATGATATAAGTTCCGCTGTACATTGTCAAATTTCTCTAAACAGTCACTTATCTTTTAACATCATTTAAATAAGTATTATATATTTGGCCATGTATTTACATTTTTTTAATACTCCTTTGTTTTATTGGGAGTTTTTTTTGTATATCCATATTTTTTGTCTGGCATCATTTTATTTTCTTCTTTCTAAGGGATTTCTTTAATGTTTCTCTTAGTACAACTTGCTTTTTGTATATCTGAAATATGTTTTTTTCCACCTTTATTTATAAGAGACTTTATTTGGATATATGTTGGTTAGTATTCAACCTAAGATAGAATTTTCTATTGATTTTTATTTCTTAATATTTTAAGGATGATCCACAAACATCTCTACATTGTTTTCAGCAATAAGTCTGCTGTCCTTAACTTTGTTTTTCAATATGTAATATAAATTTTTCTGGTAACTTTAAAATTTTTTCTTTACCACTCATTTTGAGAAATTTTATTATTACATGATTTGTGAAATTTTCATTGTCTCCTGTTTATTTTTTAGGTTTCCTAAACCTGTAGGATTATGGTTTTCATCAAATTTGAAATATTTTAGATTGTTATTATAAGATATTTATTTTATCTTCTCTATTTTCTCTGCTGCTATATTAGGCTGCTAGAAATTTTCCTACATCTCACTGAAATCTTTTATTTCCTCCCATCAGTGTTTTCTTTTAATGGTCTACAGCTAAATTCACATTAACTAATTTCTTCTGCAATGTCTACTCTTCCATTATTACATTCATTATATTACTTATCTCACATGTCAGAAAATTGCTTTTGGTCTTTTTAAAATATCCTCCATGTGTCTCCTTTGTAAACATACTGTTTATGTTAACTGTGTTAACATTCTTGTCTTTAATTATAACATTTGTGTCATTTGTGAAACAATCTTGATGGATTTACTTCTTTTGTGGTTCATATTTCCCAGCTTCTGTAAATTCCTGATATTCTTTGATTATATGCCAGATATTATTAATTTTGTACTGTGTACTGAATATTTTTATATTCTTATAAGTATTTTTTAGCTTTTTAAAAATGTAAATAAGTTAATTGAAACAGTTTGATCATACAGGTCTTGCTTGAGATTCTTAGATGGAACCAAGCCTTGTTTATTCTGTGAATAGTTATTCCCAGCTACTGTTGAGATAAGACTTAGTGCTTTATCCAATGTCCCATGTCTCATGAAGGTTTTCCAGTGTAGCTGATGAGAATAGACATGATTTCCATCCCTAAGTAGGTTCCAGTGACTGTTTTCTCAAATCCTGTAGAAAAGTGTTTTCTGAGGTCTTGAGAAACTTCTATACACACATAACCTAATACTTTTTATTTTTTTTCCTAAACACTTCATAGAACCCAGTGAGATTCTCTGGATTTTTTTCTTTATGTAGTTTTCTCCTTTCTGGTACATTCAGAGTTAATACTAACCCAGAGATTTACAAAGGGAAGTCACATTTTATGTGCTATTTCATTTTTACCTCTGGTAGAACTGAGTGATATTTGGTTAAGCCCTCAGGAATCTTTCAATGAAAAAAGATTGAGAAATTTATTAAGCTAATAAGATTAGCTATAAGTAAGAGACTCCATCTGATTAGAAACTGGACTAGTTCTTTGACAGTGAGTTAAATTGAATGTATGTGTTAAATATATTATTTGTGTTTGATAATATAGAAATTTACCCCTTACTAACCTCTTATTTCTGCAATCTTTCAAGTCACAAGACAGAAATGATTGTTCATTTCCAATACCGTCACATTTTAAATACTTGTTTTTCATTTCATAATGACAAATTGATAGTAAGCAACATATTTTCTTTAATATTGTAGAAACAAGACCTTCTAGAGAGGAAAATGGCTTACCATTTACAAAAAATGCAAGATTCTAGCTTTAAAGGAGAAGATATGGAGCAAAATACATTTAAATACAGAGGACAAGATGGAAGACAATTTGAATGTGAGAGCATTACAAGATGATGTAGCTAAGTAGGAAAATGCTTATCCATGTAAAAATCATTTTGTAATATTCTATGTACTTTCACTTCTACTCACTTTGTGCAGGCTCTCTTCTCAGGCATTTCCATGTTATAGTTCTAAATGAAAAGTAGGCATGCATGTAAAAATTAAAATGCACTGAAAACTGAAACTGTCATATCAATTGGCTTAGAAGGCAAGGTTGCCTGTACTGTAAGCAGTTCTAACCAACTTAAAATATGCTTAAAATAACTACAGAAACTATAAAAAACATGTAAATAATTGCTATTGTATACCAGTGTGGTGTTCTATTATGTTACCAGCCAGCAAAGACAGACATTACCAGAAAACAATGAAGAGAAAAGGAAGAGGGGAGATAGAGGAGGAGAAAGAAAGAATGGAAGAAAGAAAAATAAAAATAAAGAAAGTGTGAAAGGAGGAATATGGAACCATGACTTTGCTATGTCCAATCTCTACCAGCTTCCTTTTATTTATAACATTATCAAACTATCACTGGTTTTTCTCCCCAGATATTAGTTAAAATTTTATGACCAGGATGCAAAAATGTGAGCTTATTTTAACTGTCTGAAACTATGTAGCATCAGGAAAGAAAATTATCATTTTTCACTTAACTATTATTATAGTGTCCCATCAATCCTATTTCTAGGTCAGAGTCTCCCTGTGTCACTCCAGTAATCTATTAACTTCTGTTGGTTCTTATTTTTACCTACTTTAAATCCATTTATGCCTAATCACATTTTAAAACTTTGTTTTTATAGTTTCTTCTCCTGCCCCTAAAACTGTTATCTATTAAAGGAAGCTCAGACTGCATAGGTAAATATTCATCAACATCTAGAATACAGTCTTCACCTAAATTTTTACCTTTATACTGCATCCACCCTAACTTTATACTGCATCCTTGGAGGTGGCAGCTATGATTTTGGGGTAATGTGTACTGGCTCTGAGCCAAACTCTGGAGCTAAGTCCTACTTTATCATTTTCTAGCCATGGAATGGCTTGAGTCAACTACTTAACCCCTCTGAGCCAGTTTTGACATCTGAAAACAAAGATAATACTCTGAATTTCTATAAAAAGCACAAAACATAGCACACAGTAAGAATTTCACTTATTTCATTGTTTAGTAAAATTAGATTGTTGATCATTCCTACACAGTTAACTTTCCCACTTCTGTGCCTCTCTGCATCCAGTTTTCTCAGCAAAAAATGACCTGCTCATTGTCTTCATTTATAAAAATCCTATAATTCTTTAAGCCACCCACTGTAAATTACATTGCATAAAATACTTCTTGATAACCCTAATTGGAAGATTCTTCTTGTTTCAATCTCTTTCATAGTTAGTACCATTTTAAATATACTTATTACATGCTTTTCACTCTCTTATTCACTCATAATAGTATACTGCAAACTTTGTGTTCAACAGAGTACCAACAAAATTCATATATCTAAGTACATGTTTGCTAAATTGATTAATGGAGTCTATTTAGTTATTGTGGCAATAGCAGCAATATCATGCTTTAGATATAAAATCACCTAAGTAGCTATGCACATTTCTACATCTTTATTCACTTTCTCATGTATTAGAGAGTTTCAAGTGATCTCTTAAACATTTCTTACCTCAAATCCTTTCATGAAGAAGGATAAAAATGCATTTAATTTATATTATCAAAGTGACAGAACAATAAGGATATCTGTGGCACAAATTAAATTGATTTATACTACTATAGTAATGTTATTATTTTCCACCAAGTAGAGAGCTTCAGATGGACAGAAAAAGCAAGAGAAAGAAAAGAAATAATTAATATCAGTAGAATCAGCTTAGTGATCAGTGAATGGGCAGATAGATTACTCTCACATTTTATATCTCTAATAAAAACCAATGGAGCACACACATGGTCATGATCCTTTGCCACCTTAAGAGTTAGTAAAAGACACTACATTTACCTTTATCACAAAGAAAAGAATATACATACACACACATGCACATACACACATGCATGGATACATATATATGAAAACATAATTATATAGATACACACATATGTACATATACATGCATATATGTGCATATATACATATGTGTGTGTGTGTGTATATATATATATTTGCTTATGCTGGGCTATAAGACACATCCAGTTGCAGTAGTCACTGAACCACTGAGTCTTCAGCCCAGTCACTATGTTGATATTGTTATACTTCCAGAGAGGAAATAGCATGTTCCATTTGAGCCAGGTATACATTTTTCTTTCTACCAGGAAAAAAGATCCATCTGCCAAAGTAGATCTTTTAACATGAAATGATAATATTTCATGAATAATTGTCTTTCCTTCCATTTCACATCTTGTCTTTAATGTCTCATACAATCTCACAAGTAGATTAGCATATGGTTTTCCTCCTCTTGAGTATGAAAGGATAGTTTTTCTTGAGTAATTCTTTCATCCCTATTATTGAAAAGCAAATGTTTTATTACATTTCTTTAAGCTTCTCCAAACAAGAAAAATAAGACTGCTGATGATATAAAGTTAGTTTATCCTGCTGGTGACCAGAAGACATATAAAGGAAAACACGGTAACTGAATATATTGATAAGAAATACTAAGTAATAAACAATACTTTGGTAATAGCCTTTTTCACTTAAATACAGATACATTCATCCTCAGTTCTCCTTTGTCAAATGACTGAGAGTGATGCTTACCAGCAACTATGTAGCCTTTATTGCTTTAAGAATTTGACCCCTAGATAACTGATTTGGTGTTTTGAACTAGACTTTATACTATCATTTTATAATAACTAAATGAAGAGTCTTTTGCCATTAAATATATAATACAGGATGCCTAACCAATTATAAAATAATGTTTATGCTTAAAATTATTTTGGAAAACTGTTAAATGGGTCAGAAAATAAGTGCATTGACTTCAGAGTTACTAAAAACCTTGTTGAAATGCCATTTTCTTTATTAGTTCTTATTGCATGCTATGATAGTGTTGTTCATTAGAGCTCACTATATTAGCCCCTGAGCTCAAATAACAACATAAAAGTCCTTCACAACTGCATTAACAAAAATGAACGAAATTGAATAGTATGTTCACTTTTCTGGAATAATTTGTATAGAATTAGTATAATTTCTTTCTTAACTGTTTAGAACAATTTAGAAATGAAGTTATTTGAGTCTAGGACTATTTTGTGGAGAGGTTTTTAACTTCATATTCAATTGTTTAATAAATATAAAGTTCTTCATAGTCTCTATTCGTGAATTAGTTTTGATAGTTTGAGTTTTTCAAGGAATTTGTTCTTTACATATGTTTTCAAATCTATTGCCACACATTTTTATGATAATACTTTATTATTCTTTTTAGTAATTATCAGTAAACTCTATTGTGCTGATATGTGTCCTCTGTTTTTTCTAATTGACCTGGTTTATCACTTTACTAAGCATCTTAAAAAGCTTAAAAAGTTATCTTCATTCTATTTTCTCTTTTTTAAAATTTATTTAAATTTTACTTTGATCTTGATTTTTCTGCTGCTTACGAAGTGTTGGCAAGTATGTGAAAGAACTGAAGGACTCATGCACTAATGACTGTAGGTAAAATGGTACAACCACCCTAAAAGTCATGTATATTTATTTATTTATTTTAGTTAAACATATACCTACCATATGATCGAGTCATTTCACTACTACGTATTTACCCAATAAAAATGAAAAAAAAAAATGTTCACACTGGACTTATTCATGAAAATTTATATACATTTATTTATGAAAGGTAAAAACCGGAAATGTCCAAATGTCCAACAACAGATGAGTAGATAAAAAATTGCGCCGCACTTGGTAGCTCAGCCTGTAATCCCGCGCCTTTGGGAGGCTGAGGTGAGTGGATGGCCTGTGCCCGCGGGTTCGAGACCCGCCTGGGCAGCGAGACCTCATCTCTACAATAAATCAAAAAAACCAGCAGGGCGTGATAGCACATGCCTGTAATTCTGGCTATTGGAAGGCTGAGGTGGAAGGATCGCCAGAGCCCAGCAGGTCGAGGCTGTGGTGGCCGGCAGTGGCCACTGCACTCCAGTCTGAGCGACAGAGTGAGACTCCAACTCAAAAAAAAAAAAAAAAATTGTGATATATGCCTTCAATAGAATTATTCTCAAAAAGAAAAAAGAAAAAAGTGATTGATACGTGTGGGTCAGAGGTACAGACCAGTGTTGTCTGAGTAAGAGAATAAATAAATAGATGGATTACAGTGTTACATGAGAAATTTTTAGGGATAATGGGAACGTTACCTTGAGTGCAGTGATGGTTTCATAGTTACATACATATTATATTTAAAAATTGATCAAATATTTATATGTGAAGAAGAATAGTTTATTGTACTTGGATTATTCTTTAGTATAGTTGTTTAAAGCCTATAGAGTTTCTCTTTTATTTACTTTTAGAATATGTAACCAATGCCGATCATCAGACTCACAGTAGTTCAAAGAATGTTATGCAAAAATCAGCAACTTCATTTATCGGTCAGCAAGATGTACAGGATAATGGTATCGATCAAAAGGTATAAAATTACATTTTAAAATATTCTGTAGTGATTAGCATTTTGTATTCTTAGTTTTTACTTTTATAAACTATCTTTTTCACTAACATCGTACTGATTGCTTAGGGATATTGGGTTTTATTTATGAGACCTGAAGCCTTTTCCTAGCAGAGAAAGTGTTGAGTTACTTTGTGCTTAATGTGCTATGAAATTTAGTGGAAAAGAACACATAGATTTTGCTACAGCAATAATAATAATAGCTTTTATTATTGAACACACACTGTTTACTAGGTGATGTTCTAAGTCATATGAAGGAAAAAAAATTGATCACTAAAGATACAAAGATGAAGGATACATAATCACTCTCCTCAAGGACTCATTGTCCGTTAAGGCAACAGACTCAGAAAGATATTAGCACAATAAAACAGTTTCAGAATGATAAATTTTGCTTTGGTTCTAGCAGTGTTTTTGATTAGTATTACGTTGGATTGGACTTGGTATAAATGAGATTTCTCTGAGATGAACCGAGTGACTCTAAATTTTTTAGAATCAACCATTGCATATATTACCATGCCTTCAGACAAAATATGGAGTACTGGAGGATGAATCAGTTTGTACATTGCTACATATTGAGCTCAGTATTAAATTAAATTTGAAATCCTGTGGAAGATACCCTAAAACATTAATGATCTTTATGGTTCCTGAACAATTTTTATGAGAGAGAGAATAAATGGGAAAAGCATCTATATTCCTTGGATGATTGACAGAAAGCAAAATCTCTTTTGGAAGTGTAGTTACTAATATATGTTTTTCTCTTTAATATTGTACCATGTAGAGAGATGGAGTGATAACTAAAAAATCAAGTATTCTTGATGATAGAGGTAAGAAAATAGGCAATATTAATAATTGTTCTGTTACTAAGACACAGTTATAATTTTATCATATAGTTTTTTAAAGTTTTTCCTGATTATAAATTATGCTTATTCTGAAAATTAAGGGATAATATAAATATTTTGTGAATATATATTATAATTAGCTCATCTGTTTTAGTGATTATTAAATGACTGTGCTTTTTGGAATGTACAAAGTGTGGAAAAGTTAGAGTTCCTACAGTGGGTGGTTGTAGCTACGGCTAGATTAAATTATTGACATGCTGTGTTCAGTAGATTGCAATACAGAGAACTGTCCTCAGAAATGTCACCATATTTCACTATCATTAATTTCCCACGTACAATATATCCTGTTTCCCATTTCCCCTTAAATGATATATATAACCAAAGATTTTTGTGTCTTGTTAGTTTCCTGCAAGTTGCTAAATATACTCTCAAGTGTATCCTATTATACACACATAGAAAATACTAGACATTTCCATTTAATGGCTAATGATCACCTCAAATGCAATACAAAATCGAATCAATCATCTTTCTGACTCTCCAATTTTCACCCAGGCATAAAATTGGAATTACCTTTAACTTTTTCTTCTTTTTATTTTTTACCTCTACAAGTTACCACTTTTTTGTCTCATCATCTGCCTTCACTCTTTTTCATTTCCATGTCTCTCGCCCTTGTTTTCTTTATTCCTGACTATTGTAATAAGCTTTATCCAATCTCTTCTTTCTCTTTTTAATCTACTATACATTTTGCTGTGAAAACAATCTTCCTAAAGCACGGTTTTGTTTATTTTCTTATTCAAATCATGAATGGTTTCTTGCTGCCTATTGAATGAAGCACAAACAGTTAATTCTAGTAGTAGGCTGTGGTTAATAGCAAAAGATTAAGCTGGAATCATAATAAACAAATTATAATTAGAGGTTAAGGACTGCAAACTTGTCTCTGAAGGCAATGCTGAACCATTTGAAATTTATAGACAGTAAACATCAAAAAAGTCACGTTATTTTTGGAGATACTTCCTTAACTCAAATCAAAATTGTGGAAATTCCAGTCATTATGGCAGCTCAGTATGGAGAACATTAGAGTAATGCTATAAATTAATATTCACCCTTATTCTAGCAGTATTAGCTTTTCATATTGAAAAATACCTATTTTTTTTTTTTTTTCTGTAGGAGCTATAAACATGTCGGGTCATGGTTCTAATATTTCAGTTCAACCTTCACCCACAAAAGTTGCTTCTAGACTTTCACAGTCATATGTGTGTCCTTCAAAAGCAGAGGTATGTAATAGTTATTTTACTTCAAATGCAAGCAATACATGAAGTATGATCTTATGATCATCATTAGTACACTAAAATGTCACTCTTTAAGAGGCCATACACAGAACAGCTTTATTCCCTGGAATTAGTCATACCATAAAAAATATTAACAGTCCTAGAACAGTCTGCCTAATGATGGTAGTTCATAGGGTGTATCTGCAGCCTCCAGAGGAAATGTCAAATTCAGCTTCTTTGATATCTGCTGTTAGAAAGTTACCAGCAAGGATTCAGGGCACAGCTTCTGGATGTGAAATAGATTTTCTCTGTGAGTTGTGTGTGTGTTATTATAGGAATCAAATATACATTCTTGGTTTTATGACTAGCATAATTAACTAGTTTGTGCTAGGGAGTTAACGTGGTTTGAAATAAATTTCAATAAACTGGAAATTTACTAAATTATTTCCAAATGAATTATTCATGATTAGGGTAGAAAATAGCATAATTTAACGTTATGTACTATAGTAGATGATAATTGACAGAGTAAACTATGCATAACTCCTAAAATGTAGCATGCTTGCTACGATATACTTATCTGTAGTACAGTTTTATTTATTTTTATTTTTTATTTTTTTTTGAGTTGGAGTCTTACTCTGTCACCCAGACTGGAGTGCAGTGGCCGCTTCTGGCCACCGCAGCCTCGACCTGCTGGGCTCTGGCGATCCTTCCGCCTCAGCCCTCCAAGTGGCCGGAATTACAGGCATGCACTACTACGCCTGGCTGATTTTTTGATTTATTGTAGAGATGAGGTCTCGCTGCCCAGGCAGGTCTCGAACCTGCGGGCTCAGGCAATCCACTCACCTCAGCCTCCCAAAGATGCGGGATTACAGGCTGAGCCACCAAGCCTGGCTAGTACAGTTTTATTATAAACATTTTACGAGCTTCTGTTGTGCTTAGTTCACTGTACTATATCAGTAGCCACATTAAATATGCTGAGTCAGAGAGATGTTTTAGAACTTTGACATTTGAAGTCGTCATATTGCCTAACATATTGTAAAAGCTATTGGCTTAACATAAAAAAGAAAAACAACTAATTTAAAAACTATATTTAAATTTTATTATTGACTTTTGGGGGGTAATGTGTGTACTATTAACTTTGTCATCCTTATAAATCTCAAATGAACATCTGATGTTCACAAATATCTAATGTTTTATGATAAGTAGAATGAGAATTTTAATATAAATAGAATCATTGCTTGGCATTCACGTGGAATTAGTTCCAGGACCTTGTGCAGATACCAAAATATGTGGATACTCAAGACCCTAATGTAAAATAACGTAGTATTTACATGTAACCTATACATATCCTCTCTATACTTTAAGTCATCTTTACATTACTTATAATGCATAATACAGTATAAAGGCATTATAAGTAATTGTTAGACTCTGTTGTTTAGGGAATAATTAAAAGAAAAAGTGTGAATATGTTCAGTACAGATGCAAGTTTTTTCCAAATATTTTTGATTCATGATTGGTTAGATTCACAGTTTCTGAACCACAGAAACAGAAGGGCAGCTGTATTATATTTTGTTTTAGGATGTGTTGTACAAAGCCTGCCACCATCAGAAAAATTATTTCTAATGGCCTGTTTTCAGCTCTCACATGAGGTTAAAAAAAAAAAAAAGAAAACAAAAGAAAACAAATCTATTACACTAGATTTGCTTCCCACAGCAGGTTGAGTTCTTGGACAAGTCTAGAGAGCCACATCCAGGGAGAGAACAAGTACTGAGAGAACTTGTTCTCTGCCTTCCAGCTCCACTTGTACTTTTCTCCCATTGTTAATTTTGTTGAAACAAAACAAAACAAAACATGTATTCTTTTTCCCATATAGGTGGTTGACTTCCTTGATAATTAGTGCATTCCACAGTCAATTACTTTTCCGATACCAGTAAATAATATTGTGCAGAAAAGTAAGGTAATAGAGCAGGCTTGAGGCTGCTATCTTTAAAAGGGCCTTCATGCAAGGTTGGCCTTAGGGAACTTGACCGGAAGCACTTTTTTACATTGATATAAAATCTTCCTTTACTGAGAAGGGTGGTTTGCTTTACCTAAACTGTACAAAAAGTGTGACACTTGTTGAATAGCTGCTTTTCTTTTGGAAATCTGAAATTTTGACATGTACTAAGGCAAGGATGTCTCCTTCATCAACAGTCAATAAAAACTTTTTAGTAATGAGTTTTAATAAATTTCCCTTGGCATAAATATTGCATATGTGTTGCTGTATTTTTTTAATATTGGAGAAGAAAATACATTCAAGCTTGTCCTCACAGAAGAGACAGAGAGCATAAGGAATACTGTGCATGATATCTCCAGATTCAGCCTGCATCTTTTCCCCTCACTTATCCTATTATGTATCTTTTTATGTAGTAAATCTTAGATGGGAATACAACTATATGCTGAGTCCCATTGTCTTAGAAGGTCACCAAGTGTGTAGGTGATCTTATGGACACCCTATGTTACAGCTATGAACTTTTGAATTCTATAAATAATACATGTAATATAAACACAATAAAACATGTACATTTCTTATGAATTGACATTTAAGAAAAGTTTTCAAAACTTTCTGTATTTTAAATATGGAAATATTTTATGGTCAAGTTATAAAAAAATTTTTAAGTATCTGTTTTGTTGTTGTGAATTATGTAGAAGTATAAAAATGCTGATTTGAATGGAGGGACAACCAAGAGATCAAGCTACATATGTAATTCAGGTAAATATGAACAACTATTGAGTAAATCATGTAGTCTATTATTTTATTGTTTCAACTATTTATTGAGCTCCTCCTTTATGGTAGATATGGTGCTAAGTATTGAATACACAAAGAAGAAAAGTTACAGTTTTTATTCTGGGCTTTTACATTGTAGGGGGAGATGGGTATGGCAATAACACAGTCCAGTATGTTAAATTCAGTAAAGAAAGTAAGTGTATATAAAAGTCAGAAAAAATACAGATAAGTTGACTCATAGGTATACCTAGGGACATCATGGATGCCTTTACCATTTACAGAAGAGGCCCCACATGAGACATAAAGAATAAGAAGGAATTTTCTATTTTCTTTTTACTATTTTTATGGAATTTGTACTAATTTTGGGAACCAAAGCTGAAATAAATAGAGTTTCATGGTCATAGTTTTATAATTATCATTTTCTGCTTTTACAGCAGCTTCTTCCTCCCCAACAACTTTATTGAGATATAGCTGACAATTAAAAATTGTGTATGTTTAAAGTAAAGATGCTCCTCAACTTTAAATGGTGCAATTTATAATTTTTTCACATTACTTTAGGTTTTTGGGAGCATGACATTCATTTAAATATAGAATATTTTTTATTTATGATGGGTGTATTAAGATGTAACCCCATTGTAAGACAAAGAACATCTGTATACAACTTGTTGATTTGATATATGCATACATTGTGCAATATTCACCACAATAAAGCAAATTAACATATCAATTATTACCTTTGTTACCATTTCTGTGTGTATGTATGGGAGAACACTTAAGGTCTACTCTTAACAATTTTCAGGTATACAATACAGTATTCTTAACTATAGTCACACTGTTGTACATCAGATCTTCCAAACTTATCTTCCAAACTTATCTTCCAAACTTATCTTGTATAACTGAAACATTTCAGCCATTGACCAAGATCTCCCCATGTCCTCCTTGTCCTAGTCCTTGGTAACTACGATTTTATCATTTGTTCCTATCAGTTTTACATTTTTATATTGCACATATAAATCATGCAGTATTTTACTGTCTGCAATTGGCTTATTTCACTTAGCATCATGTTCTCCAGGTTTACCCATGTTGTCACAAATGAAAGAATTTCCTTCTTTCTAAAGGTTGAATAGAACTCCATTGTATCTATCTGTCTTTGTATTTATCTAATTATCTGTTTAGACAGAAGACGGATTGTTCAATATGTACTAAATTTTTGTTATCCAGTCATTCATTGGTGAATAATTAAGTTGTTGCCATATATTAGCAATGAGTGAAATCATCCTGCCATAAACAAATACCGCTTCAACATATTGATTTTGTTCCTTTGGTTATATACCCAGAAGTGGGATAGCTGAGTCACATATTACATTTTTACCAACAGTGTATAAGCATTCCCTGTTTTACACAATTTCACCACTTGTTATCTTTTATCTCTTTGTTAGAGTATAGGAAGTGTCAGGAGATAATCTCATTGTGGTTTTCATTTACATTTCCTGATGATTCTTGACATTGAGCACCTTTATATATATTTTTTGCAATTTCTTTTGAGAAATATATTTAGGTATTTTGAGTTGTTTGAGCCTCCTATATCTTTTGGATGATAACATCTTATCAAGTATATGGTTTGCAAATATTTTCTATAATTCTGTATGTTACTTTTTTCTCTCTTTTGATTGTTTCCTTTGCTAAGCAAAATTGTTTTAGTTTGATAAAATTGTTTTAGATTGATACAATCTCATTTGTATATTTTTGCTTTTGTTGCCTGTGCTTTTTTGTATCATATCCAAAAAAAAAATATTGCACAGACCACACCAACATTAAGAAGCTTTTTTCCTATGTTTTATTCTAGTATCTTATGGTTTAAGGCCTTACATTTAAGTCTTGAATCCATTTTGAGTTTTTTTTGATGATATGAAATAGCAGTCTAATTTAATTCTTCTGCCTGGAGAATACAGTTTGTCCAACAACATATGTTGAAGAAACCATCCTTTTCCCATTGTTTATTTCTTTTGCTTTATTTTATCTTCAATTGGCAAATAGTAATGTCTGCATTAATGGGGTACACTGTAATGTTTCAATACATGTATGCATTGTGGAATGATCAAATATGGCTAATTGGCACACCCATCACTACAAATATTTACAATTTATTGGTGTTGAAAACTTTTGAAATTCTTTCAAAATACCTATTGTGTTTTCTTTGCACTCTTTTCAAGAATCTGTTGACCATCGTTGTGTGAAGATGGGTACAATCTTCTATTTTGTTGCTTTATGTGTCTGTTATCCCAGGATCATAATCTTTTGATGACTGTGGTTTTACAATATATTTCTAATTCAGGGAGTGTAATGCTTATAGCTTTCTTGTTCTCGCTCAAGATTGCTTTGGTAATTCAGGTCTTTTGTTGTTCCACATGAATTTTATAATTTAAAATATATGTTTGTAAATTGTACCATTGGAAATATGGTAATGATTGCAATGAATTTGTACATCAATTTTTGGAGTATGGATATTTTAACACTATAATTCTTCCAATCCATGAACATGAGATTTTTCTTTTTTACATATTTATCTTTTAAAAATATTTAGCCTTAATGGTTTATAATTTTTGGTGTACAAGTTGTTCACTTATTAAGTTTATTTCTAAATATTTTATTATTTTTGTAAATGATATTGTTTTCTTGATTCCCTTTTGGGAAGTTTGTTGTTTGTGTACAGGAAATTAATTTACTTTAATGTTGTTATGTATCCTGCAACTTTAATGAATTAACTTATTCCAACAGTTATTTCTTGTTGAGTCTTTATGACTTCTATTTATGTGATAATGCTATCCATAAATAGAGATAATTTTACTGCTACCTATCAAATTAACCTGATAGACAAACACAGAACTTTCTACTCAACAGTACAATAATATACACTCTGATCAAATGTACAATGAACATTCTTGAGAATAGATCACATTATCTCTTAAAACAAGTCTTCACAGATTGAAGGAGCTAAAAAATTATTCCAATTATATTTTCTACCACAATGAATTAGACTTAAAATCAATAACAAAAAAACTAAACAAATTAATAAATACATGGAAACTCAATGACAAACATTTTAAAAACCTTTGGATCAAAGAAAGCATTAGAATTATAAAAGTTCTCTAGAAAAACAAAAACAAAAACCACAATATACCAAGACCTATGAAATGTTGCAAAGGCAGTTTACAACAATAAACACTTAACATTAAAATATTATAACAATAACACTTAACATTTTTAAAAAACAAAGGTCTCAAGCAACCTGACTTTATGTTTGGAGTTCTTTGAGAGATCTCCATATTGTTTTATATACAGATTGCACTAATTAACATTCTTACCAACAGTGTATAAACATTCCCTTTTTTTCTCATCCCCACCAACATTTGTTACTTTTATCTTTTTAATAATAGCTATTCTGACTGGTGTGAGATGGTATATCATTGTGGTTTTAATTTACTTTTCTCTAATGATTAGTGATGTTGAGCCTATATTTTCTAATTTTATTTTGAAGATGTGGGGTACAATTCAGGGTTAGGTGGACAAATGTTCATTATGCAGGTCCCCTTGATGAGGTTGTCTACCTTTTTAAAAAAATATAACTGCTGGTCATTTTTATGTCTTCTTTTGAGAAATGTTTATTCATATTGTTTGCCTACTTTTTAAAATAGTATGTTGTTGTTGTAGAGTTGTTTGAGTTCTTTGACAACTCTGGATATCATTCACCTGTCAGATACATAGCTTTCAAATATTTTCTTCCATTTCTGTGGGGGTATCTGTTTACTCAGTAGATTGTATTTTTGGCTGTGCAGAAGCTTTATCATTTCATTAAGTCCTATTTGTCTATTTATATTTTTTTGCCTGTGCTTTTAATGTCTGTGTCATAAATTCTTGCTGAGACCAATGTCCAGAAAAGATTTCCCTAGGTTTTCTTCTAGTATGTTTATAGTATGAAGTCTTACATATAAGTTTTTAATCCATCTTGTGCCAATTATTGTACATGGTATGAAATAGGGAACCAGCTTTATTCTTCTGGGTATGACAAATTTTTTTCAGCACCATTTATATATATTCTTATTGGTTTCGTCAAAGACCAATTGACTTTGTTTATTATGTGGCCTGGGTTCTCTATTCTATTCCATGTGCCTATTTTTGTATTATGCTGCTTGATTACTACAGCCTTTTATATAGTTTGAAGTCAGATAATGATATACTTTCAACTTTTTCTATTTTATTTATTTATTTGGGGGGGCTTAAGACTGCTTTTGCTATTCTGGCTCTAACTTGGTTCCATATGAATTTTTAAATTGTTTCTTTAATTCTGTGAAAAAAATGGCATTGGTATTTTGCTAGATTTTTGAATCTATACATTGCTTTGGCAGTATGGTAATTTGAATGCTAATTCTTTCAGTCCATGAACATAAGATGGCGTCTATTTGTTTGTGTCATCTACAGTTTCTTTCATCAGTGTTTTGTAATTTTCTTTGTAGATTTTTTTACTTCCTTGATTAAATTTATTCCTAAGTATTTTATCTTTTATATTTTAGATATTTTAAACATGATTGCCTTCTTAATTTTATTCTCAGCTAGATTATTACTGATGTGTAAAACTGCTGTTTCTTGTATATTATTTTTTATCCAGAAATTTTAGTAAATTTATTTGTCAAATTCGAAGGTTTTTTTGGTGGAGTTCTTTAGATTTTTCTAGATAAAAGCAAACTGGAATAATTTGTCTTTCTCTTTTCCAATTTAGATGCCTTTTATTTGCTTCTCTTGCCTGATTACTCTGGCTAGGACATTAAATACTCTTTTGAATAAAAATAGTGAAAGTAGAAACACTTGTATTTTTTCATTTTTTAGAAGAAATGTTTAGATTATTTCTATTCAGTATGTTTATGACTATAAGTTGATCACATGACCTTTGTTGTCTTAAGGTACATTTTTTCCTTGCATAGTTTTGG